CTAGATTCCATCGTTCCATCTACCCATGTTAGCCACCAAAGCAAATTTAGAGGAAAATAAAAGATATAGCCTAGAAAAGCTTGTTTTGAGAGGGTAGCCACCAATCTAGTTGTCTAGCTAAAAGGATATTAAATTGTCATTTCCCACCATGAATTTGCAATGATTCATGAAGATATGGTGAACATTGGTTTAAACAATGGACATAATACCCTTCCAAATCTTGGAGGGTTGGTTGTAGAAAATTGGGATTTCATTTTTATAAGTTGGATTATACATCGAAGAGATAATCATTTTTTATAAACTTGTACCTAGGAAAGAGAGTCTCCAAATCCATTTTAGCAACAGGGCTCTGTTTTTTATATAATGGAGTCTACACCAAGGCCTCTTTGTTTTTTATTGTGCATCATTAGTCTCCATTGGATCTTCTACAAAGATCTCTACTTGTTACATCCACATTACAAGAAACATCTTTGGATGAATGAAAAAAGCCTGCCTACCCCTTTTGGCATCTTGAATTCAGACATAAAATATATGAGCATGGAATTAAGAAAACTCTTAATGAGACAAAGATGACCAATCATACTTAATAATCTCTCTTTTCACATATGAAGCCTTTTATAGAATTTCTCTATCACTGACTTCAATGTGGAGATACAAGATGGATTAGCTCCAAGTGGCATGTCGAGATATTTGCTTGGGAGGGAGTCTGATATGCAAAAAATAGATGTAGCCAAGTGTAAGCACAAGTGATCATTACCATTGATACAAATAATGGAGCTTTTATAGAAGTTTATGTGAAGGTTTGAAGTTAGAACAAACCATCTTAAAATTCTTTTGACTTGAACTAACTTATCAGTATCTGTTGGGATGAATATTAATATATCATTTGCATATTATAGATGGCTGAGGAAAATTCTTAATGTGAATTGCAACCTTTTAAGAATGTTCCCACTAGATGCCCTTTGAAAAAGGACCGAGAGGTCCTCAATAGCTATGTCAAACAAAAGAGGGGAGCTTGGGTCTACCTGATACAGTCCTCACCAAATAGAGAATTCTTTTAAGAAAGATCCATTGATGAGGATCGAGAGTTTTGATGAAGAAAGACATTCATAAATCATTCTTCTTCATTTTTTGCCAAACCCCATATAACCCATGATATCATCTAGGTAATCCCAGGAGACTAAGTCGAAGGCTTTACAGAAATCAATCTTTCTGCTTTTTGCTTTTTCAGATCACTCACCAGCTTATTTGCAATCATAAAGCCATCTATAATGTTGCAGTCTACTATGAACGCTGATTGATTAATGCTAATGATATCTTGCATAACAATCTTTAGTCTGGATGCAAGGATTTTAGTAATGATCTTGTAGATACCATAAATTATGCTAATGGGCCGAAAATCTTTAAACTCTATAGGGTCTACTGTCTTAGGGAGGAGAGTTACGTAGGTTGTATTGATTTTTTTAGGTAGCTTTTAAGGCTATATCAAGGATGTCTCGAGCAATAAAATCACATGCTAATATGTTGAACTTGAAGTTGAAACCATCTGGTCTAGGACACTTTGACCCATCACAACCCTATACATTGTGCTTCACTTCTTCGATTGTGATTTCCTACTCTATCCATTTAGAGGATTCTTTAGAAAGGTATTTGAAACTCAAAGGATTTGACTGCAGCTTTTTGTTTTTTCAGAATGAAAGTCATACAGCTCAGAAAAATAATTCACAGCAGCTTGCTTAATAACCTGCTGAGAATCAAAAGTGTTGCCATTATGGTGGATTTTTAGGATAGATGATTTAGCCTTCTTGAAATAGGCAATCAAGTGAAAAAAACTCGTTATTTCTATCACCTAATTTACACCACATCTATCTTGATTTCTGCCTCCAAATAGATTCAGTTTGCTTGTTTGCGAACCCAGCGATCTTTCAACAGAAAGTCTAAATGCTCCTGTTCTTGATCAGTTATACCTTCTTCTTCACATTTTTCCTCTAGTATATTGATAGCTGAAAGGGTTCGATCCATTAGCGACTAGCTAATACATTGAGATGGAATTCTGTAGCTATGGATTGGTATTTCAGGTTTTAAAGAATCAAAAGGAGCCAATTTCACATTACCATGCATAGCACAAAATACATAGTTCTTGCCGTTGCCAAATTACATAAACCTTATTTCAATCGACTTTGTCAAATAAGAGGTTGGAGACAATGGTGTAAAACAGCGAACATACTAACGATACAAACTTTCTAGACTACAGAGGACCCATGTTTTCAGACAGCCACGGTTCCTGACATAAAAAAAACAGATCATTAATCTACAAATAAAAAGTCGGAGATCATGAAGAATGAACTGTTAATAAAATTACCTCCCAAAACATAATTCATGTTCTACGCAATTCACCGACTTGTAACAACGCAATCTCATGAAATGCTACACATGATTTTATGGGAAAAACCAAATCGATTATCATGTGTTATTACCTTGCAGATCATTAAGAAAAGTGGAGTTAATATTTGCTTTGAAAAATTTCTGCTGAAGTACTGATTTAGCCGAACACGAGATAACACGTGATTTTAAGTAATTAAATGTGAATATACCGTAACTAGATGATGATTATTCTAAACAGATTGCATGGATGACCTAAATATAAAGAAAATTAAAGTTAATCTTCGCTTTGAAATTATTTTTGTTGTCGTGCTGATGTAGTTGGGTGTGAAATAATTACCGATTTTAAATAATCAGGTATGTATTTATCATAACTTGATGATGATCTACTCTAAATAGATTAGAGTAGATGACTTGACAGATGCATATACGAACCAACAGGACAGGTCTAAGCTAAAGAAAATATATCATGTTTGCAGACAATAATAATGACATGAAAAGACTATAACTTTTAATCTTATCTTTGAATCAAGTTCAAGCTTTTATATGAATTTTCAGAGGTTGTTTTCCCTATAAAAGCAACTACATCTCTATGTATACTTTTGAATCTTTAAATATCGAATGAAAACCTCGTTCGATCCTCAACGTGGGTAAATTTTATTATTTTCATTGTTATTTCAGATCCATGTTTTGTTTCTGATTTCATGCTTTTTTTTATATATTTTTGAATTTTTGTTTTTATTTTTTAATTGAAGTAGAATCTCTAATCTATTTAAGATTTTGTAAACCTTCTAAGAAGATAGTATTATTTTGAAACAGAATAAAATTATAAATTTAAAGTTGACATCTGCAACTTCTTTCACTTATTAAATTTTGTATTTGGTGTGTATTTGCTGTTTTTAGCTTCTATTTACTACTCACAACCTTTTTTTTTATAATAATCGAGATATTTTATTGATATAGCTAGATTACCGCTTAAAACTTGCTAATGAAAACTAAAGTGAAGGGGTACAAAGGTGACACGAAGAAGAAAAGAGTAAAACATCTTATTTGGGCCTCGATATAGACCAATTTCTCTATTTGCTTCTCTGTAATTCTGCTATCTCTATAAACTATATCTTTTTGTGTACTTTTGAATTTTTAGATATTAAAAATCTCATTTAGGTCTTGATATGGATCAATGTGTTCCATCTTCACACTGTTAAGTAAATAACTAAATATTTGCAAAAACATTCCAAATGAAATTCACATTAAAACCGCCTTTGAGATTCCATAATTTATTACATGATCACTTTCATGGTTTCCCATAAAACCCAGCAGCTGTACAAAGAGTTCTCCAATGGAACCTTATTTCAAACTTGTAGTAGTAGACGACGATAAAGTTGCCAAGGTCAAGGACGATGTAGCTCCAGCAAACACGTGCACTAAAAATACGAACTCCTTGGACAAAGAGGACCTGTTATGCACCCAGCTGCAGCTCCTGGTATAAAATGAACCATTAGTCTTCAATATAAAAAGAAAGGAAAAGATATGTGAATAACCATATTACCTTGCAATCCTTCTAAGCAAGAACGTGCTCGTGCAGCCTCTGAAAGGCTCGTTGAAGTCGTGCCTTGCGCACTGCTACCTTCACATAGAGCCAGTCCCATGATTCATCCAAGAACCGGAAATAGGCATGTCTCCAGGAACGTTTTAGCAGTAAAGCGCCTGAAACTCCCCAAAAGAATACACTAAAACCAATTCCCATAGCAGTACAAAACCATTTCATGAATTCATCAGCGACGACTTCTTTGCCTCGGTTGTCATCATTAGCAGGTGGACTTTGATTCGTCTCATCTCCAGGGCATTTCTGTAAGAGTGGCTGCCCGCACAATGCAAGGTTACCGGTAAATTGTGAAGCATTAAAGCCTTGCAGCTGAGTGCTTAACGGAATCCTCCCCGACAAGTGATTGTTGGAGAGGTTCAAGAAAGCCAGAAAATTTAGATCAGCCATTGTGATAGGAATCAGTCCTGATAATTGGTTTCCTGACAAATCAAGTGATTCCAACTGTTTCAACTGTCCAATCTTTCGAGGGATTTCTCCAGTCAAATTATTTCCGGATAAATTCAGTGCTACCAACAATAAGAGTCCTGTTATTTCTTCTGGAATTTCACCTACTAATTTATTTCTTGCAAAATTAATGATCCTTAAAAGTCCTAGTGTGCTTCCATAATCATACTCTCTTCCTTTCAATCTAACACGGATCTCATTCTGATATTCAACATAGCTACCTAGTGCCGTGTAAAGTCTCTTGTAAGGGTTAGACCAGCAAAGGCTCTTGTATGTGTCAGACCTGTAAAGGCTCTTGTTAGTGTCAGACCTGCAACGGCTCCCGCAAGGGGC